TACAGAGCTGCTAAAATCTTTGGAATTTTCTTAGTGGTGAGAGCTATAAAGTTATCTTTTTGTTAATAATATGGTTAACTTTGGAAAGCCCGTAGGTAACCTTGGATGGGGGCTGGTTTTCAGGGGAACCATCTATCTGCTTAGAGGGGTGGGACTGAAAGTTCCAACCCTTGACCTCCAGGAAGAGGAGGGGGGCTGGAGGTTGAATCAGTTGCTAATGACCAGTGATTCAATCGATCGTGACTCTGTAATGAAGCCTCCATAAAAACCCAAAAGGACAGGGTTGAGAGAGCTTCTGGTTGATGAACCTATAAAAGTGCTGGGAGAGTGGTGCTCCTGGAGAGGGCATGGAAGCTCTGCAGCCGTACCTAGCCCTGTGCATCTTTTCATCTGGCTTATATCCTGAGTTATATCCTTTTATAATAAACTAGTAATCTAGTAAGTAGAATGTTTCTCAGAGCTCTGTGAGCTGTTCTAGCAAATTAATTGAACCCAAGGAGGGGGTCATAGAAACTTCTGATTATAGCCTGTTGGTCAGAAGCCCAGGTGACAGTCTGGACTTTCGATTGGCATCTGAAGTGTGTGTTGTTGGGGAGCCAGTCTCCTGGAGCTGAGCCCTTAACCTGTGGGATCTGACGTGGGTAGATAGTGTCAGAATTGAGTCGAATTGTAGGATACCCAGGTGGTGTTGGAGAATTCTTGGTGGTGTGGGGAAAAAACACACACACTAGAAGATATATAAACATTACAATTGTTAGGTCCTCTTGATGAATTGACCCCTTTATTATTATTAAATTGCATTAATACTAATTAACACTAATATTAACATTCTTTGCTCTGAAATCTACTTTGACTGATATTAATATAGTCATTCCATCTTTCTTTTGATTAGGGTTATCACAGTATTTCTTTTTACCTTCTATTATTTTTAACATAATCATGTCTTTGTATTTAAAGCTGTTTTATGTAGGCTGCATATAGCTAGGTCTGGATATTTTATCTAATCTAGTGATCTCTGCCTTTTAATTGGAATGTTTAGACCATTTTCATTTATTGTGATTATTGATATGGTTTGGTTTAATATTCCAACACCTGCTATTTGTTTTCTTTTTGTCTTATTTGTCCTTTGTTCCCTTTTTCCTCCTTTCCTGCTTTATTTTTGGATTATTTTTTATGATTACATATTATCACCTTTGTCAACTTATTAGCTGTGAGTCTTGTGTAAGTGTATATGTGTGTATATGTTTTATTGATTTTTTTTTTAGTTGTATAGTATGTATTTTAAAATTACCACAGTCTACTTTCAAGTGAAATTATACACTTCACGTATAGTATGGAATCTTACAATTATACTTGCATCTCTCTCTTCCCAGCCCTGCACTTATTGTCACACATTTTATTCTACATATTATAAATCCTACAATTATTTTTCCTTTGAATGGTCCATTATCTTTTAAAGAGATTCAAATAAGAATAAGAGTATTTTATTGTATTTATCATTTCCAGTGCTCACTCTTTTCTGTAGATATAAATGTCTATTTGATATAATTTTCCTTCTGCCTAAAGGACTTCCTTTAACATTTTTTATAGTTCAGTTCTGCTAGTGAGGAATTCTTTTTTTTTGTACTTCTCAAAAAGATCTTTATTTCACCTTCCTTTTTAAAATCATCTTTTTGTTGAGTACAGAATTCTGTGCTGACAGGTTTTGTTTTCTTTTCATACTTTAAAGTTAATACTCTTCTTCTATCTTGTATTGTTTCCCAAGAAAAGTTTGCTGTCATTTTTATTTTTGTTTCTCTGTATGTAATGTGCCTTTTTCTCTGGCTGCTTTTAAGATTTTTTTTCATCATCACTGCTTTTGAGCAATTTATGATATGCCTTAGTTTTTCTGCCTGTTTTTGTGTTTGGCATTCATTGAGTTTCTTGGTTCTGTAGATTTATAGTTTTCATCAAATTTGGAAAATTTTCACTCCAATTACACATATATTAGGCTGGTAGAAGTCATTTCCCAAGTCACTGTTGCTCTGTTGTTTTTTCCCCCAGTCTTATTTCTCTGTGTTTTATTTTGAATCTATTGGTATGTCTTTAGGTTTACTTATCTATTCTTCTAGAATGTCTAGTCTGCTGTTGATCCGATCCAGTATATTTTTCATCTCAGAGTTATAGATTTCTTCTCTAGGAGTTTGATTTGAGTCATATTTATAATTTCTATGTGAGGTTCTGTGTACTTCACACGTTCAGTCTTTCCTCTGGCTCACTGAGCATATAGAATACAATAAAGATGGTTTGTGTCCTTGTAGAATATCAGCTATATCGTCTCTCTTTTTTTTTTTTTAATTTTCTCATTATGGGTCTAATTTTCCTGCTTCTTTACACGCCTTGTAATTTTTTTTATTGGATGCTGACTGTGAATGTTACCTGTTGGGTGTTGGATAGTCTTGTGATCCTTTAAAGATTCTTGAGCTTTGTTCTGGAACACAGCTAAATTACTTGATAACAGCTTAGTCCTTTTGGTACTTGCTTTTTGCTTTTGTTGGAGAGAACCAGAAGTATGTTTAGTCTAGGGCTAATTTTTTCCCGCTACTGAGGCAAAATTCTTCTGTGTATTCTGCCTATTGCCATGTGGATTTTGAGGGTTTTCCATTCTGGTTAGTGGAAATAGGCACTGCTCCCAGCCCTGTGTGCGCCTGGAAGAGTATGCCACTTAATATTTTCAGGCGTTTCTTTCCCAAGCCTTGGGTAACTTCTTGATATGCACACGTTGATGAGTATTCATCTGAAAACTTGAGGGGAACTGTCTGCAGATCTCTGGAGCTTGATGTGCCATCTTCTCTCCATTTGCCCTACAAACTTTAGCTGCCTTAGCCTTCCTGGACTCCCAGGCTGTATCTCCTCTCTTCAGGGAGAGTGCTGAGCCCTGTGTGGACTCCCTTCCTTGCAGCGTGACCTGGGAACTCTACCTGCAGTAATCTACGGCAGTCATTGGGCTCACTTTTTTTCTCATCTCTCAGGGACCAGTCCTTCATTACTTGATGTGCAATGTGTTGATAATGTGTGTTTATATATATATATATATTTCATCTGTTTTTCAGTTGTTTTTAGCAGGAGATTAAATTCAGTTACGAGTACTTCATCTTGGCCAGAAGCTGCAGATGATACTGGAACACTTGGAGAGCTTGTTAAAACTACACATACCTTGGGCCATGCTCCAACCTTACTGATTTACAGGTTATAGCGGTGAGGCTAGGGTGTGATTCTGCAAATGTGCACTAAAAATATGCCAGGCATTAGGTATACAAAGTTAAATTAGACATAATAGTTGTTTATAAAATAATTTATAATCCAGTGCAAAAGACTCATTTTTATGATACAATGTATTAGGTATAATGTCTCTATACAGGGTGATATGGAACATCCTTATGAGGAAAGGCATCCAAATATAGTCTCCTCTTGGTGGCCCAGGGAGGGTTGGCAAATGCTTCCTGGAGAAAATGAAGGAATGGATTTGCAAAAAAGGGCTAGAATTAGTTGGATCAGGGAAAACGGGGGAAAGAGGACCGACAGATGAGAACAGTCCAAGTGGGGAAAATGTTATGAGGCTCAGAGGTACAAGGTTACATAATACATTTGGGGAACTGCAAACAGTTTGGAATGGAGAGGAGGTGGTCTCTAGTGTCTCCATCTGTAAAAGGAAACTCCTTTAGCCCTAAAATTTGTGAGTTTCAATGTAGGGGGAAGAAGGTAAAAGAGAATAACTCATTTTAATCCACAGTAGAGTAGTGAAGCATGTGATAATAGATAGCTCCAATTTTCCCTTGAAGCTGAAAATATGTCTGATAAACTCATTCATTTATTTGTTCATCAAAGGTCTGTTAAACTCCTACTTTATATCAGGCTACGTGCTGGGTGCTACGGAGCCAGAAATTTGTAAGACTCTAATTTGATAGTATTTTTAAAAATTATTTTGTGTCTTAAACACCTACTATGGAACATACTTCACTTACTAAAAAGCCTCATTCTGAACAGTATCAATTTCAGAAAAACTATCAGTGACTGCTTTGAAAGCAGAGAAAGTTTTCAGCTTAGCTGAGGGCAGCACATAATAGTGGACATAAGTGAATACAGCACTAAATACCAAGCACTGTTCTAAGCGCTTGATATAAATTAACTTATATGATCCTCACAGAAATCGTATACTCTTACTTACTGGTTATTTTAACCATAAACATACTCTTTTGACAGTTATCTTTCTGCATATTTATTTTACCAACCACTAATCATTACCGTAAAAAATAACAAAGGCCTAGAAACCTCGAGTAGAGGTGGGGTCACTGAGATAGTTGAGGGTGACAGGAATAGTCGTTTTCTGCCAAATGGAAGTTTTTCAAACTGCCAAAGAATTCTCCAAGAGAAGTGAGTCAAAAAAGCAGATACGGGGCTTCCCTGGTGGCACAGTGGTTGAGAGCCTGCCTGCCGATGCAGGGGACACGGGTTCGTGCCCCGGTCCGGGAAGATCCCACATGCCGCAGAGCGGTTGGGCTTGTGAGCCATGGCCGCTGAGCCTGTGCGTCTGGAGCCTGTGTTCCGCAACGGGAGAGGCCACAACAGTGAGAGGCCCGTGTACCGCAAAAAAAAAAAGCAGATACGGCAGTCTCTCCCCAGGCTAGTGGATACAACAGTAAACTCAGGAGTCTCTGAGCTCTGTCTACCAACACAAACAGCCACATGGGTCTAAAGGTAGGCTTGAAACAATGTCATTATCAGGCCATCTCAAGTAAAGTTTGGAAAATAAATAGTACTGGAAACCAAAGAGTAAGCAAATGCACCGTTTATCATTTCACCCTCATGAGGTCAACAAACATCTGTCCCGCACTTTCACTAAAGTGGCCGGCAGAGGCAGGGTGATGGCTTCTGTTCTAAGCATTTGAATGGAAAATTACCACTTGTCTAGACTTCCTTACACACTCAATGGAGACCTGAAAACATGGATGCCGAGGGCCATGCTACTAGATTCTATGAGCCAGAGATTTCAAGGCCTCTCCTGATGCCTCTTGATGTGCAGGAATAATGGTTTTGCAGATTTTGATGGTCCATCTGCCTTGTCCATTTTTGTTTTCTCCCATAGTCTGTGCTAAGACTGATGTACACAAGACCAGAGTTGGACCGTGAGTATTCCAGATTACAAATCCTCTGATGTTTCAGTCTACTTCTTCATGTGATGTCCCAAGTACTTTTTCCTAGAGGGGGGGAAAAAGAGAAATAGATTCTTAAAATTCCAAGTTTGATTCACTGTTGAAGTGAAAACATATGCCTGTTAACTCTGCTTTCTTATCCCAGGCATGACCCAAGGCTTGGAGACCATGTTAAGGTTGGGGGAGGGTTTGGAAAGGTGACTGGCATCCCTGGTATGCCTGAAAGGAAAACTTTATCAGCTAAGGACTTATGTTACACACCCAGGGCTAACCGGCTAGATGGGAAAAGTCTTTGATTCTATGGTTAAATTCGAAAGAGTAGATACTGAAAGGTTGATGACTATGGAGGTTGCAAACCTCTTCTTTCAAAGTGCTGTAGAAGGGGTGAGGTTGCCAGGACCACGGGGTAACAACGTGAATGGTGCTTCAAGTGAAGCAAAAAGGCCAAGGAATAAATTAAAATCAAATGGTGGCTTGTTTGGCATGCTTTGTGGATAGAGTCGCTATTCATTCATTTGATCGACTCATTATTCTACAAGTATTGGCTGAACATCTATGACTTATGTAAAAGTAATGGAAACTATGAGAGAGTAAAAGGGGCATGAAATACATAATTCTGCCCTCACAGATTTGCAGTTCCGTTGGGAAGATAAGATGCACTCCTATGAAATGTGGACTACTAAGATAATTAGGAACCCTGAGCTCCTGGAAAACGTGTGCCTAGGAATAGGTTTTCTCCTTCCGCACCACACTACAAGGACACTCCAGAGAGCCACTAACATCCCTGGGGCAATGGAAGGCTTGCCACCCAGATTCATCTCTTTCCTGTTCAGGGAGACTGAGCCACCCGCCTCCACACTTTCATAGTTCGTATCAACTCATAAATATTCTTTCAGCAGCATCCTTTATTTTTTGCAACTCTGTCTCTGCAACTTTGGAAAAAAATTAGTCCTTTCCCTCTTATTCTTTTTCTTCCCTCTCCTAATTTCTAGCTACGTGCTCCAAATTAAACCTAACTGTGGCCAAGACTTAAGATTAAGATTTATGATGACCTGGAAAAGTAAACTAATACATTTTGAATTGAAAATACAAGTGCTAAAGAACTAGTGCCACAAAATTCTAAAGCCCTTGAAAATTCCTTTTATTATTTCTACCCCCAAAATTCCATCTGTTTTCTCTGATTGGAAATGTTTTTCTCTCTAGCACTAGCAACCAAACTAAGAACTAATAAAACTTTTTATATTCTTTTTTCTTTCCTCTTTTCATTTGCTTACTAGAATCAGAACCACTGTTTTTCATAACAGATTTTTTTTTTGAAACATACCTAAAACTCACCTCTTAAAGTATATAATTCAGTGGCTTTTAGTATATTCACGAAGTTGTGCAGCCATCACTTCTGATTTTAGAACATTTTCATCACCACAAAAAGAACCTCTGTGTCCGTCAGCAGTCACACCCCATTCTCACTCCTCAAAGCCCTAGGAAACCACTGTCTCTATGAATTTGTCTATTCTGGACATTTCATATAAATGGAATCATACAATATATGGCCCTTCTGTCTGACGTCTTTCACTGTGCATGATGTTTTCAAGGTCCATCCACCTTTCCATACTTCATTCCTTTTAATGGCTAAATAATATTCTACTGTATGGATATTCCACATTTGGTTTTTCCATTCATTATTCATCATGGATAAACTTCGTTGTTTCCACCTTGGGGCCATTATGACTAATGATGCTGCTATGAACATTCATGTACAAGTTTTTATGTGAACAATTGTTTACAGTTTTCTTGGTTATAGACCTTTTGGGGAACTGCCAAATTGTTTTCCAAAGGGGCCCGGACCATTTTAGAGTGCAACCAGCAATGTATAAGGATTCACATTTCTCCACATCCTCACTGACACGTGTCTTTTTTATTTTAGCCATGCTAGTGGGTATCTCATTGTGGTTTTGATTTGCATTTCCCTAATGTTGAAATGAAGATGGCAAGCAAGGATCTTTTCATGTGCTCATTGGCCATTTGTATGTCTTCTTTGAAGAAATGTCTATTCAAATCGATTACCCATTTAAAAAATTGCAGGGTTTTTTGTCTTTTATTGTTGAGTTGTAAGAATTTATTACATATTCTGAATACAAGTCCCTTATCAGATATGTAATTTGCAAATATTTTTTCCCATTCTCTGGGTTTTCTCTTTACCTTCTTGATGGTATCCTTTGAAGCAGAACTATTTTTAATTTTGATGTAGTCCAGTTTATTTTTTCTTTTGTCGCTTCTGCTTTTGGTGTAGAAACACCGTTCTTCATAGAACGCTTTTGGCGTTTCAGCTACATTAATTAACTAAATAGACTTCTGAGAATGGGCCTGTAAGCCCAATTGATACTTATAATCTCGCTGGAAAAATATATTCACAAGACCAACAGTGATGGTAATTTCCTGTATATAATCATAATGCAAGCGTGAAGTGTTGTAAAAGGTCAGAGGCTGGTAAGAGTCTTGAGCCGGAGTAGTCAGGAAGGGCTCTGGGGCAGAAGAGGGACTTGAGGGGGTCCTGGAAGGAAGGGCAGTTAGAGCTGAAGTGTTGTTGAGGAGTCTGTCCTCCTCGTAGCGTGAGTTAAGGCAGCTTGAATTTAGAATACCTAAGAGCCTTGTTCAGATTAGCCACCTAAGGGCTACCATATCTGGTGCAAAAGTGGAAAATAGGAAAGAAGTCTGGGCTGCTTAATGGGAGCCACTGGAGACCATGGCGGGCACTTCAGCCCCTTAGGCATGATCAGCTGTACTTTCTGTCTGGTAGCCAAGACACTAAGCCTGTTTGGAGGCCCCAGGGCCATGTCCAGAGCAGACTCAAACCTTCTCCTGGCCCCTGGACCACTCTAGTGGAAAGAGGACTAATGATAATGTATGTCCTCCTAAGAAGGGCTTGAACAGACAAAAATGCCCTAGGCCTACGGTAAGTCCCCTACACACGAGCCTTCAAGTTGCGAAGTTTCAAAGATGCAAACGTGCATCTGGTTCCAGCAAGGAACCAGAACCTGTGCCATCAATGTCGGGCATGAGTGAAAGTGCAGCTTGCCCTCCGTCTCCTGTTGCTGAGGATCCTTCAGCTCTACCTCCTCTCCCTCTTCCAGTCAGTAACTCTTCTTGCCTTTTCACTCGATGCCAGCCCCTGTATGCCAGCTGTTATACTGTATTGCTGTACTTTTCAAGGTACTGTACTGTAAGATTCAAAATGCTTTCTTGATTTTTTGTGTCATGTATTATTTGTGTGAAAAGTATTATAAACCTATTACATTACAGTACTATATAGCTGATTGTGTTAGCTGGGTACCTAGGCTAACTTTGTTGGACTTACGAACACACTCTCAGAACAGAACTCGTTAGTACATAGGGCACTTAACTGTATTGAGATTTAGAGCTCTGGATGGGGTAAAGCATTTTGAAAAGGTTACTGTTATGAGGCCATTTGAACATGGCAGTTTTAAGGAAATCTCAAGGGAAAAGGATGGGAGAGGGGTTGAGGTGAGGAATCAGGGTAGAGAGGTGTGTTTTGCCTGATAGCAGGTAATTAAAAATAGATGAAAATTTAACTGCTTCAGTTATCAAAATGTCCCTGTCAGAATGGCTGGGTCCAAGCAACAATGGCAAAATGTCATAAGTCCTGAACCTCTGTGTGAGAATTACACCCACACCCCATCAGCATCTGAGAGAATAAGGAACTGTCTGCCTCTCCTTTTCTCACTGCTAGACTTCCTTTGCCTGCAAAATTTGTGAAAACAGAAATTATGTCTATCTAAACATTTTATATCAACATCTCTTCATTTCCTGTTATATCCGACCATTCCCTCTCCCCCCACACACATACCCCACATACCCTTTGGGAGCTCAGTAAATATTTATTGATAATGAAGATAATCACTAAAAAATATGTTCCCATCAATGGGATAAATCTCTTGCCACTCAAGTGTCCAAAACCCATGAGAACCGCTTCAAAGATGTGTTCCCTTCACTTAAAAAACCCAAAAAACCCCTTTCCATCCCATCTCCTCTGAGTTCTGGGAAGATTTATTTTTAAATAGGATGCACTTACCCAGCCACCGTGCTGCTGGACCCAGGGCGAGAAGTTCTCCTTCAGGTACTTGGTTCCAAAGCCCAGCACCCTGTTCATGGGATGGCTGTCGATGCCTGTGAGCTTGGCCGTGACGTCTATTGCAAGAGCAGCCTTAAAGCCCTGAGCTTTGACCTCTGATTCTCCCCTGGTGTCCACGCCCCTTAGGAACTGGTCTGTGATGGTCTTGAAAACAGAGTAGGACAGCCCGCCCTGGAAGCTGTTCATCAAAGCCTTGTCTCTCTTCAACTGTGTGCAAGAGGAGAAGCAGTCAGTACAGCAGCCTGGCCCGGGCAGGCAAACTCTCCCACTCGACACTGGGCAACTGAAACACCCAATGGAAAACCCTCAGTTCTTCTGGTCTCAATCGTGGTACCATGTCCTGCAGGACTGGACTGGGCATGGACCTTCTCTGTGAAATTCTTTCATGGGGACAAATACAAACTGAACAGCCCATTCATTCGACATTCAACAGATGTTTCCTGAGTGCTGAGTACTCAACAGGTGGTACTGTGGACGATTAAGACTCAGCCCCTCACTCAAAGGGCTCACAGTCTACTGACCGTTGTGACCCAATGCAAAGTGCTTTGTTAGAGGTTGTGTAATGGGCAGAATCTGAAGCCTGGAAATCACTGTCTTGGGGCTCAAACCCTCCTGCTACACCTCTTAACTTGCTGTGCAGTCTTGGAGAACTTAACCTCTCGGTTTCAGTTTTGTCATCTCTATACTGGGATGACAGTACCTGTACTACAGGGTAATTGAGTAAAACACTTTGTGTTGTGCTCAACATGGCGGAAAGTGCTCTCAAAGTGTTAGCATTTGTCCAGGATGCTTTAAGATGCGAGATGCTTTTTTTTTTTTTTTGGCCATGCCGCAAGGCATGTGGGATCTTGCTTCCCCGACCAGGGATCGAAGCCGTGCCCCCTGCAGTGGAAATGTAGAGTCCTAACCACTGGACCACCAGGGAAGTCCCTGCCTCTGCTTGTGAAAAATCAGGGCTTGTGTCATAAAGCATACATCATCCTCATCTAAGGCCCTCCTTGCAATGTCTGTAAAGTGATGGTTATCATGTGAAAACAGAAATTTCTCAGTGATCAGGGACTATATGTTTATTTGAAAATCAACTAGTTCTGTCCCTGAGGAATGATAAGCTGAGCAGGTTTTCAACCAAGATGGTTTCTGAAAGGGGTATTCTGGGGATGAGTCAGATACGACATAAAGATTTTTAGTGGAGCCGTGTCCTTTATCTGAGCCCAGCCCACCTCCTCCCAACTTCCAGGAGACACAGGGGCCTATTTGAATTATAAATCTGAAGCAGGAACATCCTCGACACCAAGAATGGATTCCTCTTAGTCATGACCCAGTGGAAGAAGGTAGATTCGAAACCTCCAGTGGGCGGCTGGAATCCAGGACCATGCCAGCACAGTAAAAGAATGAAATGCCAGAAAGAAACCCCTTCCACAGGGTACCCAGTCTGCCCCTTGGGGTTGCACCTGGCTTTCCGGCATCTCAGGGAGGTGTGGGAGGAGCCCGCAAGTGCCCTCAGGGATGAGTGGCTTTGCAGACACTGTAGACATGGCAGGTCCCCTCCTCCTTGTCACTGTCCCATTCTGTGGGGAAATTACACCCACAGAGCACGAGTAGAGCTTCTGTGTGTTCCCACCAGAGTCCTCTACTGGGGAACCACATAAAGAGAACCACCACCATATTTTCTACATAAATAATGTAAATGATTGCCCCCAAATCAACAAGAGAGTGCATCAGGCAAAGTGAGGTTTTTAAAGTGGCAATTTGTGGGGTGAAAAGGAAAGCATCTCTCTTCATAACCAGAAGGGTCAACCTTCATACCACGCCCCCGTCCCTGGCCTCCCTGACCTACTGCCAAGTCCCTGCCCCAGGGGGAGGCTGGGAAGGAGACGGCCGTGAGAACCACAGCAACTTTGAGCTGTAAGGAATCCTTGAGCACACCTGTCAGATCCTTCCTAGTTCAAGTACTGAACTGTGAGCTGGTTAGTGGCATCTACTTGGAATTCTAGAGACAGGAAGATCATTTCTTCACAAGGCAGCCCGTGGCTTTGATGGACAGCACTGAGTGCTAGAAAGTTCATTCTTAAAGTGGGGAGAAATCAATTGCCCTGTAACTCCTATCTATTGATGTTAGTTCTGGAGAAACACAGGGGTGTCCTTAAAACCATGTGCCCTCTTCTGTTTTGTGCTTCCTCTGCACCCCTGTCCACCCCGTACTGTGGCCCTGAAGCTCCCATTCCCCCTTCTCTTTGACACCCCCGGTTTCCTCAGTGTTTCTCATTCTGCACCGCCTCATCTGCCCTTCCCCGTCCTGGTCACCATCCTCTGGGCACACCTGTGACAAAGGCGTCAAGGAGCCACAGAGCATGCTGAGACTGGGCTGGCTGGCTGGCCAGTGAGTGCTGTTTCCCCCTCCTGCAGAGTCCCCACAGGCCTGACTCCTCCCCATGGATCCTGGCCAAACAAAGGAATGGGTCCACAGGCCAGCCCCTGATGCACAGATGCTGGGGACCACGCAGCAGTCAGTGGGCGGCAGACACAGACAAGATCCCTTGAGAAGCCCTGACTACAGGGGGGCCTGCTCACTACCTCTTTACCTGAAGGCAACTCCTACACGTTCCTGATGGGAAGGACTGGTCTCAACTTCTAAATGGCAGGAAACTCAAAAAGTTCTCCGAGTTAACACTAACCTGCCCCCTGGCCTAATTGCTGAGAGAGAACAGTCCGGCCTTTCTAGGGGGAGATTTCAGACAAGACTCCAGACTTGGAGCAGCTGTGGGACACAGATATCCAGGCTGCAGGGCAAATGCAAGCGTCTGAACTTCCCTGAGGATCAGTTACATGGGGAACTAGATTCATAATTCTATTCAGCAAATTTTCATTTATTGGTGTCTTTTTCCTGCAAAAACAAAGTTACTCTTTTCATTTCCAAAAATTCCAAGGAGGCTCCAGAAGGTTTACTTATGTTTTCCAAAGTGATTCATTTTTGAGATGCTGCCAGCATGAAGAGTTTTGAGTCCAAGGGAAATAAAATTTAGGACTAAGTGGAAACCAGAACTTTGAAAAGGAGTACAAGCAGCAGTACAGTTCCATTCCTGGGTACCAGCACACGGACACAGAAAGAAAACTCGTTAGTTCAAGAAGCTCCCTACCTCTCTTTCCAACTGATACCCCGAATATTTCAGCAGCTCAACGATTCTGGCTATTATCTGGTCTTCTCCGTCTGCCAGGGGAAAATTCCAGTTATTTCTTTTAAGAAAAAACAATCTTAAATGTTTCCAGGGACAATGCTTGTAGCCTGGTTAGGGATTGAGGGAGACCTGCCCTTCATAATTCTCAGCAAAGTAAATCTTACCTTGCCTTTTCTGATCAGGCCCAAACCATTCCAGACACCCTTTCCCACAGTCCCCTCCTTTCCTCTCTTTCTTCCCCCAGCACTCCCACAGTTCTCACCGTGAAACTCATCACTTTATTTACTGTAAAAATGTTGAAGATACATGAGCTTATCTCTAAAGATATTTAAGAGCAGTTTCTCTCGGTCTTTGGGTTTGTCCTGAGCAGATGGTGCTTTTTCCATATAGACACCATAAATCCCTACTGGATCATCTTACCCCTTTGTGTTAGCTGCTAGAAAGTGTAGAGCCAAACTGTGGCCTCCTAAGAGGGGGGTATAGTCTTCCTGCATTTGGGGAATTAAACTCATTCCTAAGCCCACCTATTTTCCTACTGTTTTCTTTTTACAGTATCTTTCAAATTTGATTTATCTTACTAAAATGTGTACTTTATGTGCTGTGTCTTTACAACAAGGTGGAGTATGAGTAAATAAAATGAATAAGGTCTCCCACCCCAAAGGCTGACATGGCAGACAGAGAGAGAGAGAGGTGGCTCCAGTTGGTGTGTGTGTTGGAACAGGGAAGGTGGAGTCTGATTTTTCTTGTCTCAAGATGTGCTAACACGCAACATCAGGAAAACGGTCATTGCTACAGAGCGGAATCCACACAGAGACGGCCCTTCTTCCTTATGGCGCAGTCTCTGACGTCACCGAGTCCTCGCGTTTGTCCCAGAGGGAGAAGGGAGGAGGGGCCAGGGAATACATCCCACAAGGTCGAGTGAAGGGCAGGGTGGTAGGAAGTCTGAGCCCCAAGTCACCTGGGAAAAGAAAGGACTGCATGCTTCCACCGCCCACGTGTAGTTTTTAATCTGACGCTGCCGCCTCTCTCCAGGAAAGTTGCTAGAACAGCAGCCTGAATTTCTCACCCGCGCAAAGGATGAGAGCCTGAGCTTTTGCTTGGTTTAGGGGTATTGCTTTACGAGGCCCAGGCACACACGAGATAGCAATAAAGTTGGAACACTTGTTTTTTGCTGTCAGAAGGGTCCTCCTTTCCCAGCGCCTCACTGTCTAAGCCCCTTTGGTAGTTTGTGGTCCCAGCAGCACAGCACGGGGTGGACAAACTCACCACTTTGCTTCTGAGCTTGGGAGACACCACCACCTTCGCAGATAAATCTTTTGCCTTCTGTTTTGGCATACTGCAAACTCGGGGGCCAGCTAGGACCCTCATCATCCACTGGAATTTGGGAAAGAGAACCACGGGCAGGATAGTCATTAATGAGGGAATGGCCGGACTGAACTCTTCCTGTGGCACTTGGTCCTGCTTCCCTCAACTCTAGAATTCACTTCTCAGTTCTGATGCACGTTTTGCCCCAGACCTGGTACCTGACAACCCCCAGCTTTTTCACAGGAGCCCAAGGCAATATCATACATAAATCCCCGGGCGATGCTCCACCTGTACCCTGTGCACTTGCTCCAGTACACTGGTCCTTGGCCATGGCTAACATGATGAACTCTAACATGCATTTCCCCCTGTGGACAAGGTTGAGTCCACGCTTTGTACTTCCTCCTGCCCCTCAGTAGGAGACTTCTCTTTGGACTTAGCAGTGGGTTTGGCCTGTTGCTTCCAGCTGCTGGCACACTCTCCTTGGCTTGGGCTGGTCTCTCAAGCTAAAGAAGGTCAGTGCCTCCAGCATGTTGCTGTTGTGCCCTGAGGCCAGCTTAGCAGAGATTCCTAAGTTGCAGAGCCCTGAGCTGAATAAGTACATAAATGCTGTAGACCTCTGCCTGGCAGACAGGCAGCCCACTGCAAACACTCAGAAGGGAAGTTTACCTCTCTTCCCACCTGCAGCTCTAGGCTGGAAGCCCTGGTGCTGGAGACCCTGGCGTGTCACAATCGTTCTGGACTTGAAGCTTCCTCTCTGGCTCTGGGTCTCTTCTGGCGGCGGCCAGGAATAAACGATTTCAGCAACTCGGTTGGCAATGGAAACAACTTTGGGGTCCACGGCTGAAACAAGACAAAATGGTGCTGACAGGCCCTTCCCAGAACTTCGTCTAGCTGATTGGTATGCACAGTTGCCCGAAATGAAAACACCAGCCTGGAGGGAAAGGAAGCGGCCCGGGAGTGTGCGTGGAGGGGAGTCCATTCTTCAGAAAGCGCTGGCAGTTGCCTGGCAGAGGCTGGGACGGAGGAGGAGTTCACAGAGGAATGATTGCCACCTCGAAACAATTGCCCCTCTGCACCCTCTTCTTGAAGCCTTGCAAAACTAGGGTCCCCTTGCCCCTTTGCAAGGGAAGAGACACAAAAGGGAGTGCTTAGTTCTTGGCTTGAGGGAATGCTCATTATGCTTTTATTTCTATTCTTTTTTTTTGGACATCCTTTATATCTTGGAGAGCTGGCCCCTGTGTACATAGGAGGGCATTCAGCAGTGTGACAAGCCTTTGGGGGTTGTCACGGAGGAAAGAGAAATATCCCTGCTCTCAGGCCATATTCATGACTCATTATCAAGTGAACATTGAACTGCCCTTGCTGGCATGGTCACGTGTCTTCTCTCTCCTCCATGTCCAGTGGGAAACATGCGAAAAATGCTGATAGGTAAACAAGGATGCATAAAGTCTAACCCACGACCTTCAAGAGTTTATAATCCAGGAAAAGCCTTATGTCATGAATTTGCACACGCAACTAGAGGGTAAAGCATTTGGGGACATGAAGGTTTAAATGGCACTGGCCCCCTGAATGTCATAGCCTGTGAAGGACAAGTCGACTTTGCCCCTGGTAAGGGATGGGGTCGGGTTGGGAGGGCAGGCAGTACTGCTGAGTTATTTGGGAGTGAAATTTACACTGTTAATCCATCACTAAGTTCTTAACTTTTAGAAGCTTGTCCAAGTTCTGCCTTTGATACGGAGCGGTCGTATCATGCAATGTTTAAGAACAGTGTTTAAGTAAACAGTGTTTAAGTATTTAATTCATAAGACTTGACCAAAGTAACAGAGTGGGGTTTTGGCCAGAAGGTTGGTGTGCCCAGGGGAACACCCGGACCTTGTCAATCAGGATAGATAAGAGAAGCAAGGCCTGGGTCCGGGGAGGGATTGTGTCACATGCAAGGCAGGGTTTGACCTCCTAAGGAGCTGCCAAGGTGGTTCCTGAACCTCTCTCCCTGGATTCGCCCATCACATGGAGCTCTGGTGCTTTCCCTTCACCCCCCAGGGCATTCACTGAAAGGCCATGGGAACTGACACTCTGTCCACAATGCCTTCCTTTAAAAAAAGGCATAATGGCTTCCTTAAAAAGCCACATTTTTCCTGATGCTCCATCCATAGGGTTCAAAAACAGATCAGGAGTGGGTTAGAGAGAGAAAAACTGGAGAGGTCAAGGAGAGAAGGATCAACGGTTTTCCTTCCCATTTTAATAACCCAACCACAAGTACTTTCCACTTTTAAATCACCTTACTGCAGTCCAACCGGCTTGCTCGTGAATGCTGGCCACCCACGGAAGGAGGTGGCAAGAGGCTGGATCCCAAAACCGGTGGGAGCCTTCCCTTGTGTCCACAGGAGACGGGAGAGGAAAGCTTCCACGTGCTTTCCTCTCTGCAACCTTGTGCGGCCTGCAGGGTGATTAACACGCTCTCTTGCACGGAAGTCACACTGCGCCCACCTTGCCCTCAAAGGAGGCAGATGAGGGCCCCCAAGGTTGTCGCTCCCCAGCCCCCAGCCCCCGCCACGTGGCAGGGCAATCACAAGGCCCCCAGCAGACGTGGAGGTACCAAAGCTGACTGACCTGCGTATGTGTATCTGTTTCTGCGGACTGGAGGGATGCAGGTGAAATATGTGCCGGAAAAACTATAAGCAACCTCATTTTGACTCAGATGAATTAGCTCTAGTTAAGATTCCCATTCTAATACCTTACTTTTAAAAACTGGAAAAAAAAATTCCCTTCTCATCAGAGTTGGTCCTATCTGATAGGCAAGGGAACATTGGATGGGTGTGGAGAGAGAACAGAAAGGCTGCCCATCCTTTTGAGTTTATTCTGGGGGCTCATTGTGGGATTAAGGAGCGCAGGAGAGCGGGATTGGGAAGGCATTTGGCTCGAGGCATTTGTTTTAGAAGAGGCAGGGCGTTTGTGAGAGGATTCCATATGGTCGAGACTGCTATTTCCTACCCAGTATCCATTTTCTTTTTCTTCCTTAGTAACAGGTCCCTGAGATGCCAGCGGAAGGTGACAGCACTACATTTCCCAGCCTCTTCTGCAGTAAGGAGTAGCCACTGAGATGTAAGAAGTTGGGTACAGTTTTAAGAAAGCTCTCTGAGAGGGAGCTGAATTATCTAGGAAGGAGATACCCTTTTGTCCTTCCCTTGCTTCCTCTTTCTTCCTGCTTGGAATGTAGACATGATGGCTGGAATCCGAACAGCCACCTTGGGTTTTAAGGTGACTTTGAGGTTGGAAGCAACTAGCTGAGGGATGGCAGAATAGGAATCCTTAAAGATTGTGGAACTGGTAGATCAAGCCTGGGCTGCCAAACTGTGGTTTTCTTCTATGGGAGAGAAAAATAATGTCTGTGTTATTGAAGGTGTAGCAAATCATAGCTGTGGAGAAAAAAAGATTCACACAAAAACCCGGGTTGGTGTTACTAAAATTGGTATTGACATTCATTTTTCTACATTCCAAGGTCTCTTACTATGAGACTTTGGTCTTGGGACATAACCTCATCGTTCTCACTCCAACCTGGTGTCTGAGTCCTGGAAATGGCAGCACAGGCTAAATTGCGACCTTTAGTTAAAAGAACCCAGGGGACGCCAGCCGCTGAGCTCTGATTTACATGTGGCAGAATAGAAATAGAACGTGAGTCCCTCTTGGGTCACACCCAACATAAAACCAACTACCTACCTACATAATTAACTAAACAAGAAAGCAAGGAAAGAGGAAGGTGAGAAGGGAGGAACAACTGTGCTTAAATCCTTAAAGCTAAGCCTCCTTGGGAGGTAACCGTTTCTACTTTTGTAGGGATATCTATATATCTACACAGAGATCTGGAAATTTTAGAAAATAAAAAAGGTGAAATGACACTTCAGTAATATAAATACAGAACGTCATTTTTCTCAGGAAAGCCAGAAGGTTAAAGTTTGTAAAATCTTCTGTTTCCTGGCAAACTCCAAAGAACAGGACAAGCAGAAAAGCCTATTGAGGTGCCTCCAAACTGTTGTGTTTGCTCCAGAGCTCAGATACCACCCCCAGTAGAACAAGCCTGTTGTACCCCTGGGCGAAGGAGGAGTTCCCCAGGTAATCCCGACCCTAACTTCCCCTCTCCTAAAATTCTATAAGTCTGATAGGAAATGGAATTTTCCTTGATCACAGTGAATGATCTAAAGCTGTCATTGTGCGAGCTGATTCTCCAAGTAAGCCAGCCATCACAATGTTTAAAAATTGAGACATTACTGCCACCTGTTGACTAATTATCGACGAGTTACACGGGCCAATCAGCCCAGCAGGAGAGGAGTTTCTTTTAAAATCTGGGCATTGGGCCCAACGTATTGGTGGAGGGGAAGAACATGGTTATGCCAGGGTTTCTGGATGAAGGGCGATTCTGATAAAGCCTTTCATGAAAATGTTTTGTTCAATACAATGTGTTTTGTACCACTGAAGGAAGATTTTGTCAAAATTCTTCTTGGTTGTCTTTTGAGTGTCTTGTACTTTGAAAAGTATTTTCGTGTACAGCTATCTGATCTTTCCATCCACCTTCAGAGGCCATTGTACAGATGGAAACACAGAGGCCCAGAGACGGGAGTTGACTTCCCTCAGGGAGAAGAGAAGCCTGAGCCCGGCTGGGGCTATTTCTCTTATGTTGGTCGCTGGCCCTGAGGATTAGGGATTTGGGCAGCAAGTTTATAGACGGTGGAGCCAGAAAACCAGTCCCGTCACCCTTCACGGCTATCCTCTTCCTTTCTTCTCAGTCTTGAGAAAAGCAGGGAAATTAGAATTGAGTATTAAGAAGCTGGGAAGCTGAGGTTCAAAGAGTGCCCTGCCTGAGGCCCCATTACCAGCTGGGAGGAGGTGAACCCCCAGGCGCACAAAGAAGGGGGAAACACACGGCTGCGGGAGAGAAAGAATCCCCAAAAGCCTACCTTCACGCTCTAAGCGCTGTTCCACATTGGAGAGGGACCTCGGCCACTGCGGACCGTGAGGAACACTCTGAGGTCCCACCGGACTTTGCCGCTCAAAACGGATCTCCAGAGGTGAGCTCTGAGGGTCCTCCTCCTTCTCTGCTACTCCAAAGAGTGTTCTCCAAGATGACTTTTTCTTGGCAACGTTTATGGCCTTCTCGGTGGATGGGGAATTTCTGCAAGTCCACGGCCCCTGTGTCCATGGTTTGTTTGCCGGCCAACTCTCTGGTCCTTTCTGGGACAAAGTACTTGTTCTCGGGAGCTCTCGTGAGAAGACAGCAGAGGTGTTCTTGAAGGCGTGGTGTTTGACGTAGAAGTCCAGGATTTTGAATTCCATGCTGTCTGGGTCATCATCATCCAGGGGGATCTCTTCCAGGTTGCAGGCGCTAGTGGTGCACATGGCAGGGCTGCAACGACAAAGTCCACACGCGTCCGTCTACCTGGGAGCCACCTACTCTTTGTAGGTCGGGAGAGATGGGGTGAAACTCAATAAGCATTTATTCAGTACCTATTCTCTTTGTGCTGGGGGGCAGGGGGTCATCAGAGATGGAAAAGCCAAGGTTTGTTCTGAAAGTTCAGTCTTACAGAGATGAGACTTGTACATAGATAACTCCAGACAAAGGGCGAGCTAGGAGCTCGTAGAGACATGCAGGAGCCAGCGCGGGAGGTGGGGAGGAAAGACAGCTGTGAACAGGGGGCGAGGGCAGGCTCCTTGAAGGAAAGAAAGTGTTTGGATGGGTGGCTGGCTACTGGGCCTTAGAACAGGCTGGGCAGAGGGCAGGCTCTGGGTGAATTTAGGATGTGTTTGAAGAGTGGAAAGAGATCTGGTGGCGCATAAGCCTGTGCTTTGTGGAGAGCTGGGGCTATAGGGATGTGGAGGGACCACGGGGAAGTGGCAGTCAGGGCCAGGCGATCGGGAAGGTCAGGCTGAAAGCTTTGCATTTTCTCATGTCGGTAGATCAGTACATTTCAGAAGGGGCCCTAGACTGTGGAGGGAAGTTAAAAGTCTTCTTGGGGGCTTCGCTGGTGGCACAGTGGTTGGGAGTCCGCCTGCCGTTGCAGGGGACACGGGTTCGTGCCCCAGGCCAGGAAGACCCCACAGGCCGGGGAGCGGCTGAGCCCGTGAGCCATGGCCGCTGAGCCTGTGCGTCCGGAGCCTGTGCTCCGCAACGGGAGAGGCCACAACGGTGAGAGGCCCGCGTACCGCAAAAAAAAAAAAAAAAAAAAAAAAATAGTCTTCTTGGGAGAGGGTAGCTGGGCAAGGGGAGAGGCCAGCTCAGGGGAGGAAACTGTCTGGGGTCCCTGGCCCTCCCCGGCCTCTCTCCATTCTTCCTTTACTCACTGCTTTAGCTTGGAAAGGTTTGCTTCTATTCCTTGCCATATTTAGCATTCCATCTAAGATTTTATCTGAAGGAAAAAAATCCTGCTTTTTTTTTTTTTTTTTTTTTTTTTAACAAGTTTGAAGCACACTGATGGAATCAATGGAGAACTTTTCAAAGTCTGGAGCGGGAGAGTGATGTGACCACAGACATGTTTTAGAAAGATCAATACAAGCACTAAAATGACGGGGATGGAAATTTCATCTTTATTTCCATATGAATAACCAGATAGATGTAATTAACTGATTGTGTTCAATTTAAGCTTTCATGAAATAATTTCTTAAATGGTTGTCTGCTAGGAAATCATTTCTTTCTGATCTACTTTGCTTTCTTTGGTTGTATCTTAAGGACTATGGTTTCCTTTTTGTCCCAGATGCCAGAGAGCCCAGATCTACCAACTGTCATTGGATTAAAATTTCACAGACAGTGCGTGTGCTGGAAACCAGCTTGGGCTTCTCAGTCTAACAGTCCTGAGTTCAAATCCTGGCCATACCACCGACTAGCTGTGTGACCTGGGGCAAGTTACTTCACCTCTCTGAACCTGAGCTTCCTTCAGGTAAATTGAAAATAATAATAGTCATCTTGCAGGGGTATTGTGAGGGTACAATGTAATGCATGAGAAACCCCAACACAGAACCTGACTCAAAAATGGTAGCTATTTTTTTTTTTTTTAGTACAACTGTCACCCCAGGCCCTCTGACTCTGTCCTTGATGTGGCTCTTAATCATGGACCCTTCCCTTAATGGTCCAACTTTAAGAGTGTCTTTTGGCATGTGAGCTGGTATGATAATAAATAGCTGTAGTGATATTAATGGGATCAGCTTGCATGTCTCTCCTTTTCTTTCCACTGTCCCCTCTCACACCAGGACCAACTGATAAAGAATTTGGGGCTTCCCTGGTGGTGCAGTGGTTGAGAATCTGCCTGCCAATGCACGGGACACGGGTTCGAGCCCTGGTCTGGGAAGATCCCACATGCTGCGGAGCAACTAGGCCCGTGAGCCACAATTACTGAGCCTGCGCGTCTGGAGCCTGTGCTCCGCAACAAGAGAGGCCGCGATAGTGAGAGGCCCGCGCACCGCAATGAGGAGTGGCCCCCACTTGCCGCAACTAGAGAAAGCCCCCGCACAGAAACGAAGACCCAACACAGCCAAAAATTAAAAAAATTGATTAATTAAATTTTTTTAAAAAGGCAAAATTCAAAAAAAATAAAGAATTGGACAGTGACCACAGATGGGGTTTGAGGCAGTGTGATGTGGTTCAGATCAATTTGACTGTGTGTCTGGAGGCCGATGGTCCAGGGTTGGCTCAGTGTATAACTTGCAAAGTGCTTGGGCAAGTCTCTCAATTCTTTTGGTCCTCTGATTTCACAGCAAATGTTCTCTAACTTTCCCCTCTGATTCTGTTACTATTTGAAGGAGGTGTGAGGGCTGAGACATCTCCCCTGCAGGCCTGCCGATGCTTCCTGTTTCTATCGTTGTTTCCTATCATTTTTTGGAAGAGCCTCACACTCGATGATAGGAAGCTGTTCATCCAGGAAGCGCTCTGTGGCCAGGCCTCGAGAAAGCAGTTCTGATGGAAGTGATGCCAGGAGGGAGATGCAGGGGCTGTGCTAGAACATCAGGTGCAGATGGAGGGGGCAGAAGTGATCTGCCAGGGTGGCCAAGGGCAGGGCTGCAAAACCTGAGACACCTACTGCACACACAGATATATCTGCACGACTCCAAAGCCCCCCAGGCCTGCCTTGGGTAACTAAGCGTGAGCAGTGCTTGAGGGGCGTGGTGTAGACTGGGGGTCACCACCACTGTGTCCTCCTCCCTCCCTTTCGTCACACGCCTGTCCTATTCTGGGGCTTGGACTATCTTCCTTCCCTCACCTACTCCCGATTTCACGCGCCCATTATGCACTGCAGGGAACTTTCTGCCGTCTGGAATCACTTCAGCATCTCTGCCCTCACCTCGCTCTGCCTGCACCCCCCTCCTCGCCCCATTCTCACGGGTCAACCATTCTTCCCCTCTTGGTGCCCAGTTTCAGTCACACCCATGAGGATCCTTCCCAGGTCTTCCAATTTATCTAGACTTCATTCTCTTTTCCACAATGGAATGTAAGTGCCGGGAGGACAGGCATGTTGATGTGCTGTTTTTTCTCTGCTGGGTGCCCAGCTCCTACAGTAATGCCTGGGGCAGAAAGGCACTTGGCAATGAACTGTGAACTTTTTCCTAGTCTGAGACAGACTGTCTGGGTTCCAATCCTGGCTCTGCCATTAGCAGTTACGTGACATACTCTCCAGGCTTCAGTTTCCTCATGTTTAAAATGGGAACGAAGGGACTTCCCTGGCAGTCCAGTGGTTAAGATTTCGCCTTCCAATGCAGGGGGTACAGGTTCGATCCCTGGTCAGGGAGCTAAGATCCCACATGCCTCGTGGCCAAAAAAACCAAAACATAGAAACAACAGAAGCAATATTGTAGCAAATTCAATAAAGACTTTGAAAATGGCCCACATCAAAAAAAAATCTTTAAAAAAAAATAGTAAAATGGGGATGAGAATAGTACGTTTCCTTCTGTTACAAAGATTAAATGCGTTAATATTTGTAAAGCATTTAGAATAGCATTTAAGTGTTTGAACAAGTATTTGATTTACAAAAATATTTATGAAACCCACTTACGGCCGGCCACACTGTTCTAGAGAAGTTGCAAGGGGTTTTCGGGTGGCGTAACGGGGAGAGTGTAGCATGTGGGGTGAAAAGGAGGTTGAAGAGCTGCTTTTCATACTTATTGGCAAGGGGGCGGAGGCAAGTCATGTAGCCTCCAACGAGGTGTAGTTTTTCCAGTTACAAGATGCGATTCATATCGTCTAACTTGAGACGGATAACCTAGTTCAAATCCTGGGTCACCGGCTTACTAGCTGTGTGAATGGCTACATACCTTAATTTATTTCTGCCTTCATTGTTTTCATCTGTAAAATGGGGTAAAACAAAACAAAACAAAACAACAACCCTGGCAGGAGATCAGCCAAGATGGTGGAGTACAAAGACCCTGAGGTCGCCTCCTCTCATGGGCACACCAAAATCACAACTATTTGCCAAACAACCATCGATAAAAAAGACCAGAACCTACCAGAAAAGATCTTCGACAACTAAAGATAGAAAGAAGGAACCACAGCAAAACGAGCCGGAGGGGCAAAGTTGCGATAGAGTCAAGTCCCATACCCCTGGGTGGGTGGCCCACAAATGGGAGAATAATTACAGCTGCAGAGGTTCTCCAAAGGAGTGAGAGGTCTGGGGCCTTCCCGCCTGGGGGCCCTGTGCTGAGAAGATGAGTCCCCGGAGCATTTGGCTTTGAAGGCCAGAGGGGCTTACTTTCTGGAGAGCCAGACGGCTGGGGCAAACAGAGACTTTGCTCTTAAAGGGCACTCACAAAATCTCACACGCTCTGGGACCCAGAGCAGAAGCTGTCATTGGAAAGGAGCCTGGGTCAGGCGTACCTACTAACTCTGGAGAGTCTCCTGGAGAGGCAGGAGGCGTCTGCTGCTCACCCTGGGGACATGGACACTGCTGGCAGCCATTCTTGGGAGTTCCTTCTACTATCTGGATGCTGGTAATGGCCCGCCCCATTCTGGAATCCTCCCTCTAGCTTATTAGCCTCGGGGATTAGCCTCGCAGCGGCCCAGCACCCTGTAGGCGCCAGGGCTGGGGCACCTCAGGCAGAGCAACTAAGTGGGCATACACACAGTGCCATCTATCAGCAGACAGGCTGCCTTAAGACCCCCTGAGTCCACAGCTGCCCCTGGACACAGCCCTGCCCGCCAGAGGGCCCAGGACCCCACCCCATACACCAGTGCGCAGGCACTAGACCCAGGACCCCCAGGGCTCTCCAGCCAGAGACCCCACAACCCCCTGGGCCCTGACCCTACCCTCCAGCAAGCCTGCTCTAACCTCAGGACCAGCCTCACCCGCCAGTGGGCAGACACCAGCCACAACACAACCACAGCCTTGCAGCCTGTGGACACAGCCCACCCATTAGCAGGCCAGC